GTGTATTTGTTTCAGTCAAATCAAACAAAATTACAAATTAAAGTTGATAAGTAACATGAAAAGCGCATTTATATGAAACATCAAGTGAGTCTGAATTTAACAACACTGAAGAACAAATTAGAACCAAAATTATAAAACAAAATGACTTGGATAACACTCAATTTATAGTGGACCACTCTATACCTAACTACAAGTTGAGGCATCATAATCCCGCATTTGAAAGTTACGTTTTTCTCAATAAATGTGAAGAAAATGCTCACATAAACATAAAGAACATGTCAAATACAGAGTTTCAGATTTCACAAACAAATCTTGAGAATAAGTGTCCAGATGTCTCCAGATAATTAACTCGGCTCTTGGACTATTAATTAGGCCTACTATAATTAACTATTTATTGACCAAATTCTCATAAATCCTTTAACACATTGCATGCCACGTGTATATTGGGAAAATAAACCACAGGGTCACGCGTGTTTTTCTCTTAATTTTTATCACAGAGTAGCTGAAATGATAGATTATATTGTTACCATTGACCTCATTGGAAAATATAGGTATAATTTTGGGTATAATACAATGTTTGATTCAAAAAAAATTAGTAAATAGCCAAATTTGCCCAAACCAAGTATACCGATATGATATGCTCTGCTTTAAAATTCTATAAGGAAATATACATATGGTCGGGCAGCAATGATTGACACGGGCTGGTACGCTTAAGTGTACAGGGTGTCCCATTGAAGATGGGAATTGGGGTTATCTGCTAAACTCGCAGAGATATCTTTTTTTTGATTTCACATTCCCGGGTCAATTTTTTATGACAAATCGAATGCCGCAAACCGCAGGTCTCTATCTTGTTTCGTTTCGTAGATACAGGGTGAAACTTTGAATGTTTACTTTTCGAGGGTAGTCATTATCTAGCGTATTAAAAAAGATATCAAAAAGGTGAAAATTGTATCTGACGCAGTTTTTCACGTAGATTTCATTGGCGTACTGGAATTTTCTTTCGGAGATACCGTTCAAATAAAAATCTGCCTCTATGAGTTTAGCAGATAGCCCCAATTCCCTTCTTCAATGGGACACCCTGTACATCAAGCATATACAGGGTGACAATTTGAAAAATAGCAATCAAAAAATACTATTAGGAAGATCTTAGATATTGCATATTGTAAAGAAGGTACTTCTTTATTAAACACGAACATTTCAAAATAGAGTTTCCAGAGAGACAATAAATAAATAAATAAATAAATTATGCAGAAGGGTCTAGATAGTCTATCTAGAAAAACCTTCTAAAATTATATCCCTCTTGTATATACCTCAATAAATAAGATATTATAGAATTAGGTAGAAATGATGGTATGATAGGGTTTACCTATCATATTTTGTTTGGTGGTAATATTATTCTCCTTATAACTTTAGTTGGTGTATCACGTTACCTTTCTGCGTGGAAAGAAAGATTCTATATAAAAACATTATCTTGTTTCAATTATTGTCCTACATCCTATTTCCAATATAAACCCCTCCTGTTTTGGAGGCTTGCCCCCCTAATGATTTTTCTAAAATGAGAAACTACCTCGTGTGATAGGTACCTTCTTTGAAGGCGTGACCATTTCATTTCAGTTACAATATAGAACCTGATCACTTGACTTTTCATTTGGAAAACACAAAAACAATTTTGCCTGGTAAAGTTGAATAAGAGCATTCAGCCCCATTAAGCTGAATTCACTTGAAATCACGTTGTGCAGCTGACACCCAACAGCAAATTATAATTCAACAATTTCTCGCCGGTAGTCGGTAGTGCCCCACTGCTACACTTACCAGTGTAATCGTGCAACAAATGGGATCCTAACCTATTATGGTGGACGGCCTCCCCAGGGGACACCAATTACCAAAAAGAAATAATCAAATCTTAATTTGTTGCCCTGGATAATCACTGAAACGTAACTTGAATTGTTATTGAAAACATCTACAGCCAAATGTTTGAAGTCTAATATCAGTAATATTAAACATTATGCTTAACTAGAAGTAGCTTGAGATAAATAAATATTTCCATCAAAGGGCCCCATTCACGTTGAGATCGGTATCGATACATGTATCTGAGATTTTTATCCATGTTTCAACTTCGCCTACACTTTGAGATGAGCTCAGGAAACATTAGTTCAGTCGTAAGTTCAGTTCAATCAACATAGGTATTATTTATATAAATTCAAAACTCATGTTGGAAATAACACTGTCTATATTTTAGTAGCGCGATGCATACTAAACTTCAACATACACGTTGAAACAAGTATTAGTTGCATGCGTTCGGTATTGAAGTTACCGACGCCGGCGATACCATTTAATATACCGTTATACTGAGACAGACAAATACACAATGAGATTTGTATCAAGATACTGATACTTAATACCGATCTCAACGTGAATGGGACCCTTTACTTACTGAGGGCGGGTATTATAAAACTACTTTGAAAGTTAACTTAAAGTTAACTTCTGGAATTACATGTAATTCAAAAAGTTAACTTCAAGTTAACTGTCAAAGCAGTTTTATAATACCCACCCTAAAATGCACAAAACACCAATTTCTGATTGTTACGAAAATGTGATGAAAAACCTTTTGAGAATGATCATTATTCGAGTGGCCAAAACTACTTAGTGCAAAAAAATTATCATTTTTTTTATGTATATACTTATTATGCATCAGATATGTATTATGTAAATAAAACCCCATAACTGTAAATCAAGGCTTTAGGCCCATTTCGATACTGTAAATATTGTAAATACCCCCATTGTAACTATATCTCAGATTAATTTTTTCTGTAAGTAATAAAAATTCCTTCCACCATAAATGGTAGTTGTTCAGCCAAAAAGGCAACTAGGTACATGAACATTTTCCTTATGTAATAAAATAGCAATTTCTTAATAAATCAATAAATAAATGAGAACTTCTTCATAGTAATTTTTGTCTAAGTGTCAAATTGTCACCCTGTATGTCCGACATGGCCTAAATGGACACATCATGCAATGTACGTTTTAATGACTGGTTTTCCAAAAGTGCATGCAACACCTCCATGAGTATCTCAAAAAATATATAAATGGATGGCTATATACTATATTTATAGCAATCAGCTATAGAGTATTATTGTGTAGATGTTTGTATCATTTTAGCTGGAAATGTTTAGTGGACTATACCAATTAGCAATTACCCCAAGGTATTAATATGGGTTAGTTGTGTTGGGTTAGTTAGGTTATTGCTAGTGGTAGTAAAGTGGCTTAAACAGCCATTCAATTGAAAACTGGGCACAATCAATATTTTTTTGAGAAACTCCCACATTCTATTACAACTAACCTACAACCAGCATACAGCATTTTATTCCAACAGTATCTACATATTCAGAACCCAGCATTCTATCTCATAACAGTCTACATCTCTGGATCATTCATCCTTCACCCAAGCTCATATATACTTTCTTCATTAATGCACTTTTAATGGTCCAGTTATAGAGAATCAAATAAATCACTATATTTAAATTTTAAAAAAAAAAAACATAAATACAAAAGTTCTGGACTGTTCCAGACTCAGACATTAGAAAAATCAAGGATTGTTTATTCAAAATTCAGTAAATCCCAAATATCAAAAAATAATTGTTGGTACTAGGTACTTACCAAAATCCAGAAATCAATTGGTACACTATGGGCACACAACACAATAATCGGAAAATCTTAACTTGTGTGAAAAAAAATCGCGACTGGCGGTGCTCCATCTCCGATCCGGACTCGACTGAATCTGACTAAATTTAAATTCCTTGTCCAACAAAAACCCCCCCAAAAAAAAGGTAAATATATGAAGTAATAAATATGAGAGGGATGGGCAAAAAAAGTTGAAGATTTGCAAATAAAAATCCAAAGACCCTTAGGAAAAAGAGCAAAAAATTGAAACTTTTTATTTTTGGGTTTTTCTCATTTTTGACTTTAGAAATCAATAGAGCGGGTCCAAATTAGTCAGAAACAACTCTAACATCAATTACATTTGGAAATTTCAATGAAAAAAAAAAATCCAAAAAAAATAATTCATTTTTGGTTCTAAAAATTTTGACAAGCTCATGAATAATTGCTTATATCTTCGATTATTTTTCAGCAAATTAATAACAACCATATATCATTGAAGAGAGCATTAAATTCTCTATAAGACTGTACTGATTTCCATAACTTTTGGAGTTTCCAAAATATCGAGCTTAAAAGTTGAAATTTAGTCGACATTTTGTCTAAAACTTCAAACTCGGTGTAAACCCCTGACGATTCCAGCTAAATACTAATTTGAAGCCCTAGAAAAAGCTCAAAAGCCTGAAATAGAAAAACAATAATTTTTCGGTAAATTTTCCTCAAATGTTTTCATTCTATTTCTCTCAAAAAACATTTACATATAATATTTGGAAATTGCCTATAAATTTGAAAACCCGTTATTTGTGTAAATTCTCTTGTTTAAAACATAAAACAAAACGTAAAATTATAAATAAATGTTGATTAGAAACACAATTTAAACGACATCCTACCAGGACAGATAAATATTACAAGACTATAGATTTTAAAGAGGCTGAAAACTGGAACTTTGAAGATGGGGCCTACAATTTTTATGGGTGGTTTCTCCAGACCTTCTCCTTCAACATTCATTGAACAGCTGACCGAAAATCAGCTATCTGTTGATAAATTTTCCTAAATTCCTTATTTAGTCATGCTCGTGGTGTAGGCCTCGCCAAACGGACCATTATTTTTGTAGCAAATGGTTATTCACACATTTTCAATACCTCATTAAATTGATACGTTTAACGCTTTGCAGAATGCAAACGGCCTATTTCCAAAAAGTTTAGTTGATAAAAAGTTGTAGTTTATAATAAAATAAAACCACTCCACTCACGAAGTTCCAAATGAGTGTTATTCATAAAAAATAGGAGCGATGTACTGTGGACTAATATAACTTCCCATACTAAAATGTTATTTATTTTTCTCAGGTATTGAGGATGGTCAGACGGTGCGCGTGCCAATAAAAAATAAAGAACTATTCGTAACATTTAGGGTAGACAAATCAGATTATTTTAAAAGAGACGGAGCTGATGTGCATACAGAAGCCGACATTTCAGTATCCCAAGGGATTTTGGGGGGTACCATAAGGATACAGGGGCTATATGAAGACCAAATAATTCAAGTAAAACTACCGTTTGTCAACAATAATTATTTTGCAATTCAATTTTTTCTTGTGTGTAGATTAAGCCAGGAACCTCTTCTCATACCAGGATAAGACTAACGGGCAAAGGTATGAAAAAGGTTAACGGTTTTGGCAATGGAGATCATTATGTTAATTTAAAAATCAAAGTACCCAAACAACTAAATGAAAAACAGAGGGCTCTTATTCAAGCCTATGCTGAGCTAGAAGAGGATACACCAGGACAAATAATGGGGATATCAAGTACAACAGATGGTGGTGAGTAATTTTTTTTTAAATTTAATGTTTCTGAATTTTAGTTAGTAGGTAGGTACTTTGAAATAGGGATATTAAATTTCTAGGGCTTGTTGAGGGTATCACTACCTACTAGAAGTATTTCTCAAAAGTACCAGATTTATTTATTTTTCTATCAATTATAACATTTTCCAAACCTACCTTATCCAAGACTTGAATTTTCCAAATGCATGAGAAAAATGAAATAAAGCGCTGTTACTTAGGTATAACAACAAAAATTTGAGTATTTTTTGATGTCAGCTTAAAACATTTCATATGTAGCTTGTCCCATGTTGGTGTCTAATTTTTTTATAATTTATTGAATGACCAATATAGCTTGTTGGATTGAAAGAAATAATTGAGTTATCCTACAGCCAATGTTTTGACTTATTTGTAAATCCTTATTAGATTTGAAAGTAGTAGAAAATATTAAAACTGGATTTTAAAAGAGATTATTGTTGCCTTCATAATAGTAAAGAGGATTTACAAATAAATCAAACATTGACATAGTAGGAACATTTAACGAAATCTGAAAGAAACAACTTAAAACATCTAAAATTATTTCTTTGTTTGGCAGGGACTAGAGCTACAGATGAAATGCCGTACGCTGGCGAAGAGACATCTCAAAAGGGAGGCATCTTGAACCGAATCAAAAACGCGATTTTTGGTTGAGTTAAAACTAAATAACCAAAGCAAGCTGTAAAAAATTGTTTTCAATTTAGGTGTTACTCTGAAAGTATTTAATTGTTACTGTTTGAAATATAAGGAGTTTTTATTTGATTTAATTATTTCAATATTTAAAGGTAAACAAGCCTTCAGTTCCGGAAACCAAGATCTTCTGGAAGCTATCAGATTGGCTTTGGAAGGTAAGGACAAGCCACTACTAACAACTGAAACAAGCTCAAATAATCTAAATAATAATAGGGATAAAGAAGTGAAGGAAAAAAAGATTAAAAAAGATAAGAAAAATGCAATTCAAGAGGAGCAAAGTGATAATGAAAAAGAAAAAATTAAAACTAAAATTTAATTGATCAGGAAATTTTAAAAGCAAGTAGGTAATTCCAAAATTACATGAATACTTTTTTGTTCATAGGCTGTAAGTAGTCCGTATGTAACCAATTTTGTTTTAATGCCTACACATGTTTTTTGTTAAGTGGAAAACACAAAAATATAGTTTGAAAGGGAGTTTTTGTTGAGTTTGATTTATTAAACATTAACTAATTGTGATTTATATATTTTTCTACACGAACCTGTTCATTTGACTTCAATTCTGTTCTGTTGTGTAATATTTTTGGGTGACACTCAGGCTACCACAGAAACAGAAAACATAATTTCGATTGACTGGCACTCTACTATAAGTGAAAATAGTCTTGTTTCACGTAAATAGATTATGGACAAAACTTCTTTGATATTGGAAAACATTCATTTTCTAGGAGCGTGTGTGAAACTTTTCCGCATGTAGTTTAGGTCATGAAAGTACCAGTGGCGGATCTATAGCACCATTCTGGGGGGGGGAGGGTAGAGCTTCTCAACCTGTGGCGGCTCGTGGTCTATACTTGAAGTAGGACCCAAAGTATGCTTATTAATATTACGATAACGTAATATCACATCTTCCTTTTCATATAAAGATTAAACAGTTTTTTTTTCTTCAAATATCAATACAATAAAATTATTGGATCTTATTGAATAACTATTTTTACATAATATTATTCCAGCACCTAATCCAATATACAATAATAATAAGTCTTAGATATAAGATACTTAAATCTATTTTATACAAACACTTAACAAACTAAAATTACTATATGATATAATCCCTATATCTAACCAGAACTTAATCTTATGGGAGGCCTCACTTCCATACCTGTTCTCGTTCTCACAGAAGAATGCCTTGGTAACTCTCTAACAGGAGTTTCATTTTCCAATGCATTATTCTGTGCGACATGAGGTGACATGTTTTGATTGTTAGAATTTGGGTTGTTATTTATTGTCCGTCGATTTTAATCTCATACTCCGACGGAATGTGAGCTGGTGGCTCCCTACATTAGAACGCCAATGGTTACCTGACTTCACACCTGTTTTGCCATATGAAACACCCCCTCGCTCCTCATACGGAAAGTGTCAGTTAAAAATCGACGAACAATACATTATCATTTAAGTTATCATATGGAATCATTGGAGTATTATCGTATTTAAATTTATTGTATTTATTTTTTCCCTGATTTTTGAAATCGCTGCTTTTGTTTCCAATTATATGTTTTCTGTTTCTGTCTACGACAGTTCCAGATTTTAATTCAATGTTATATGATCTGGGAGTATCATTTTTTCCTATTATTACTCCATCGAGACATTTTTCCCTTTTGTTTAATTTGAAATTTCTAACTTTAGCATTTGTTCCTGGACTATCTAAATATAACTTTTGTTTTTCTTGTCTATTAATTAAATTTCTTCTGATGTTGGAAAGAGGTTGAATTTTTGGTTTTAATAAATTTTTCTTAACTGGAATTGTTGTTTTCAACCTTCTATTGAAAATTATTTGAGCAGGGCTTGGTAAATTTTGATCTATTGGAGTGTTTCTGAGTTCGGATAGAGCCAAATGAATATCAGTACCAGAATTATGACATTTTTTGAAAGTGTTTTATAACATGGACCGTTATCTGAAATTAGTGAGTCTGGAATTCCATGAGTTGAAAATATTATTTTTAAGCAGTTGATTACACTACTACTTGTTTCAGAATTGAGTTGTTGAATTTCAACATTTCGTGAGAAATTAGAGTTTTCCTACGATTACTACTACTATTTGATAAACAAGCTACGCATGATTCTATCAAATTATTTATCTAAGCATTCAATGACGGCCTAAATATAAGTTGCTAAGCATTTAATCTCGTTTTAACTTTCCCCATATGTGCTGTACGCAATCTTGCAATCATGTCCTTTCTTGAAGATTTTGGAACAAAAATTCTATCGTTTTTAATAGTCCAGGAGGCAGTGAAATTTACCAGCACTTATTTTCCCAGTTGGTGTATATTAAATAGTTTGTTCTCTTGGTGATACAAAACAAGAATATTTGAGTTTCACAAAAATTTTTGAATGGGTTCACAAGATCAATTTCCCAGTCATAAATAGTTCTCATTCACTACAATAGAACATAAAGTATATGAAAATAGCAATTTGGTTTATCTCAGATAGTGGAAAGTGAGTCTGGCTGAAATTTTTCGGATCTTCAATTTTTCACTTGTCAGACGTATTATCCATACTCATAGATTAGCCGGACTATTTTTTTAAGTAACTTCAGTATACTTCTCATTAGTAGACCTATTTTTATCACTGGAAAAAAAGGGCCGTGCATTCGTAAGCTCTAACGCATTTTGCGACTCAACCCACTGGAAAACCCCCCCTAAAAATATATGAATTTTGCTTAGAACTACTAACGCTACAATTCTATCCATGTTTTCTGACTGGGAAAATAAGTACCAAAAATCGTCACTGCCTCCTAGACTAAAAGTCTTGTTACCTCCAAAATGTGCCCCTGAAGTTCCGTCATGTATTTCTTTCAATACATCTACTCGATCTTTTGGAATAACCAGTTGGCTCTTAGTAGAGTTTCCATCGGCACTTTCCCAAATTATTTTAAGTAAACCATTTTCTATGGCCAGACAGTTCCACTGAGCCCACAACGCCTTGTAAATCAAACTCTTGTTCGACACTTCCCTCCATTATTCTGGCCTACATTCATCATTTTCTTTAAGATGTAGAAATTGCCCGATGTCCGGTCTGCCTCTTGATCTGCTCTCATTTGTTTAGTAGTCCAATTGTCATCAACGATAAGACCCGTTCTTCTCACAGCTGGAACAGTGTTTTTCTCGGGTACATAGATTCTTTGACAAAGCTTGTAGTCTTCTTTGCATAGTCGTCTAGACAGAGCGTCCGCATTTTCATGCAGGTTTCCAGGCCGATGTTTAGGGCTGGCGTCTCTAGATCTCCAAAAGCGTTGGGAACGATCCCTAGATTGAGAGGATATCCTTAATCTCCAATCCCATTGCATATGTCCAAGCTTATGGCACCGGTAACATTTCGGCTGTCCCAATTCAAAACGCAGTAACAACACTTCGATAACAACGTGGAAAAATCGAATTTAATGATAATTTTCGAGCGCCACGAAATAAATGGAGATATTGCTTCAATATTTTTAAGGGTAGTCAGGTATAACCTGAGCACTCTTTTTATCATAGTTTTAAGAACATAAACCCTTAAAACAATAGTTCGGCAGCTGCAAAAAAGGTTTTGCATGGGATTTTTTTCGAATAAACAACATAAGTTTGTGTCAAAACACAGTAACTGCCTTCTCATGTAATTTTTTTTTCTAATGAATTTGATAATACTTCATCAAAACACAGTAATTGCCTTTACTATGTTTTGTAACAGAAAACTAGCATAAAATATTAAACTCTTTAAAGCAGTTAACATCCATTACTGTATTTTGAACTCAAAATAATACATACTCCATTTTTTTTTATTTTATAAACAAAACACAAGAAAAACTTCTGTAGGGTACCAAGTTGATAAAACTCAAATAAGATAATATTACAATCAGGATATTCCAAAATCAGAATCTATTTCTTCCCCTACTTGCTCAGCATCAACCAAGTCCACGGATATTTCGGATTCTGGCATCGTTTCCCAAAACACCCTTCTGTTGGTTGGCATAAGCGGTACTAGATCTTTCAAGATTTTTGCTTTTTTGGAGGCTGAAATGCCACGAGAGGACAAGGCTTGTGGTGTGAAGGTCATAGGATTGTGCTTCTTCTGTATGAAATCCAACTCTGTATATTCATCTGCAAAATCTTTTTTATATTGCATGCATTGGTTTCCTTTTTTGAAACAAACATCAACAATTTCATTCAATAGAAAACCCTTTAATGGATCCGCTGCCTTTTTTGTATTTCTTTTTTTATTTGGCCACAAGTGGAACTCTTTTAATTGCAGAACTTCTAATTTCCTTCTGGATGATTCGACAGCTTCTATTAATTCTTGAAAATCATATATGTTTCTCTTCCTCAAGAGTTTCTGCTCGATATTACCATGGATACCATCTGCACTCATATGAGTATGGCCTTTGGTGAGATAACGAATGGTAATTTGATTTGGACCAGTTACACGATTAACTTCAGTAACAAGTGATGTGTACAAAACCCAATTTTTGTTCTGGGCGCTACAATTATCAGCCCAAAATATAAAATCCGTAGCATCCCTTTCTTTCTCGATTACTTTGAACATAGCATCAACAAGAGCCTCAGCTTTACGACCACCTAATGATTCGTGCCAGAGCACACAGTAACTTTGATTAGAGGATTCCTTGCTCAAAGTGGCGAACGTTTGATTGAAAACAACAAGTCGACTTGTAAAAAAGGCGGTCTTGCTTTGAGGCATGATGGGCAAAATAATAACTTTCTGTAAATCCATGGAGTAAATCCGTTTATTTGTTGAACCTGCTTCTGCTGCTTCGTCCGAATTCTTTTTATATTCTAAATTTGCTTTTGTAGCTTTAGCACGGTGAGAGTCGTATTGATTTTGGATGATTTCATTTTCACCATTTTCCAAAATGTTTTTCAGGGACGAGCAGTCTTCACAGACATCCGATTTTGGTTGGCGAAGAGAAATATTCATTTTTTTCAAGGCCTGTCTGTAAATCTCAATTTTACATATATTTGGATGTTTCGAAACAAAGTCATCGTACATGATTTTAATAGTGAGCTCTCTAGGTAAATATCTTACGTTGGGGGCATTCTTTCTTCTATAATGGCTCACGCAAGGTTTAAATGACTCAATGTGGTTTTTTATTATATCTCGGTCAGCTTCCGGCCTATGACTTCCACCCCTACGCTCCTTAACCTGATTACCGCAAGGGCCTGATTTAATTGCTGCAACTAATTCGGTTATTACTGAATCAGTAGTATATCCTAAATTATTTAGGAACGTCAGTCTGCATACAGCAATTTCAGTTGAATCTGGAAGTGGTAGAGTGAAATACCTTGATTCCGATCTTGAATGTTGAGCTGTCATACTTTTTCGTTTTACTGGAAGTAACGTTACATGTTTACTTAACCATTTACGTCTACTTGTGTAGTCCAAATTCCAATACTGGTTCCAAATATCATGACGATGTTCTTCTGTTAAGCTTTTACACAGTCTTCTACATTTTCCGTTACAAATGGCTCTCATGGGATGTTTGTTTTTGTCTCTCTCGATTTTTTCTATTCCTACTAGTCTTCGACCAGGTCTTTTTAATTCTCTAGTATTTTGCCTCTCTCTTTCTTCATTTTCTTGTACCTGACCATTGTCATTCTGCAAAAATATACCACAATCAACTTCTAAATTTGAAAATGAAAATAAATATATTACCACTAAATCGGGTGTCTCAAGTTCTGGGTCTTCATTAGATAAGTTGCCAGCTTCCGTTTCATTTTGCTCATCTCTTTCTCCATTGTCACTTCTTTTGTCATTCTAGAAAAACGTATTTATAAATAAACAGAAAACAGAAATACTTGAAATTAAATAACTTACCACTGGAGCAGCATTATCAATTTCGAGGACTTCACCACTGGCTTCCATTATCCTCGGAATATCGTTAGAGCAAGAGGTAATTTCATTGGTGTCCTAAAATCAGAAGTTTAAATAATAATAATAATAATAATAAATTACCTTGTAGATAATCATTTCGATATCAACCTACTATTGGTTCAGGAGTGGCGATTTTTCCTCCGAACTGTGATCTTTTCACCTTTCTTTTTCTACTTTCAGATTCTACAATGTTATCATCGTATTCGCTGTCGCTGGGTTCGTAATCTTTGTCCAGGTCGCTATCATCTACAGGGCTTTCAAGATAATCCTCACATGGAAAAGCAGTAGAGACAAATGTCTGTAATCTGTCTAAGTACATTTCTTTCTGTTTTTCACTTTCATACTTGCTCGTAAAAAATGATGAAGTTTCATACTTAACGATTGGGAAAAGTGGTAATTCGTCGATTTTCTAGAAAGTATTTGTGAATCAAATTGAATATATATCCGTGTATAATTCTATTTACCTTTTCAGGATAAGAAACAGTAGAATAGTTAACCATAATACGTCTTGTTCGCGTACTGCATGATGCCAAAATAGTATCGCGTTGCAGCGACATCCTCTAGTCTCATAATGGTCTATTTGTTACTGACACAAGAAAGAATCAGTGCCTGGAGGCACTTGCAGTTAACTTGGATATTAATGGTGGGGATGGCAGATTTGAAACCGAATTCCAACCGATTTGCCAGTACAAAACACAGTAACAACAAAAACGATAACAAAACACAGTAACTGCCAAGTAGTTACTGTGTTTTGGTATGGGATTTGATAAATACTGTGTTTTGTAATGGTAAAATATTTTTTTGCGAGCAGTTACTGTGTTTTGAATGCATTCTATTTTCCTTATTTATCGAGGGATTTGAGCTTGTAAAATACCAAAATGTTCAGCAAAACACAGCAACTCCAAATCCCTAATAAACTGAATTTTGACGAAAATGTTAGTTACTGTGTTTTGCATTGGGACAGCCGATTTCACTCGGTGGTTGTTTGAGGTCGTTTTCCATTTTTTTAACTTTTAGTAATACATAGTGAAACTTCTCTACCGAGTGTTTATCCTTTGGGTCTTCAATGGAGATGCTGGTTATTTTGTTGGTAGATTGAAGCAATAATGGACTGAAGAAAGTCTAAGGCAGGTCCATCCGTTGGTATTTGCAGCAGCTTCAAATTGTCGGATATGCATAGTCCAGGACGTAGAACCGTCAAAAGTTGGTGGTTTTATCTTCATACTAGGGAATGCTCCAACACTACCTGGATTGATGGACTGTATTTCTAATTTATCCACCTTACCAACTTTGTCGCTTCTTCTTCTTGTTTTTCTTTTTGTCGCCTAGCCTCTTTGTCTTGATTTTTCCTGTTGTCGTTTAGCTTCTTCGTCTTGTTTTCCTTGTTGTCGTTTGGTCTCTTGAAGTTCCTTCATTTTGCGCAGTAGTTCTTCAATTTTTTGTTCTGTCATTTTTGCTTGTTGTCTCGTAATAGGCATATACATAATGTTCTGGAACTTTCCTCAAAATGTCTTCAAATATCTTTCCTGATTGAAGTTCGAAACACGTCGGTGAAGTGAAGTCACAAATCCGATATCTCCCTTGGTTTCCAAATAGAATGTTGTAGAATTTTCCCGAAATTCCTCGGATTTTTTTTTCTGGATGACGATTGATATGTATCGAATACGTCGGTGAAGTCACAAATTTGATATCTCCCTTGGTTTCCAAATAGAATTTTCTAAAACTTACTTGAAAATTTACTATCACAGTCAAAATCGGGTATACAGTCACTTCCGGGGTAATTTACACAATCGGTGAAGTCCCTTTTGTGATTGTCACTGCTTGCACTGACTAACTGTCTCAGTGTTCACTTAGTGTCCACACTATTCTGCAATCGGATTTCACTTTGCAGTCCTCGAATTATATTCCACTCTTCTCTTCTCTTGACACCAATGTCGCAGCTCTAGCTTGTTTAACAGAAAACTTGGGTCCGTTTATTCCAAAATTAAAGTCCAGTCCACCTATCTTTTATTACCTTGACTGCGCGCGCAACTCGTGGGCTGCAGGTGAGCATCCAATGAAAAGCGAGTTTGTTACGGACTTGCGTCATATTCTTATTCAGGTGCCAGTTCAGAATTAATCGCTCCTTCTTTCTTTGTAACGTGTATTTTGACAAAGAGCAAACTAATACTTTACGTATTACTTCTGAACTCACCGCAGTGTTGTTTAAAATTATCTCAGATTATACTTGACATATTCCTTTGGACTTTTATTGTGCAATGTTGCCGGATGAAACATTTATCAAAATAAAAGTGCCAACGATGTGAACATACACTTTAAAGCTCTTCTTCTATCTGATTTAAGGCGTTGTAAAACACTATATCACTTCTTTAACGTTATAATGTTCGATTTGTATTGTCTACATTTGTTCTGCAACAATACGAACTGGCTACACTGAAACCCACTAGTTGCGCGCGCATGTCATCTCTTATTACTTTCTAACTTGTATTTATTACAATTAAGCTCTCTTTTTCTATTTATAATGCGAGACAGGTCAATTAAAACAACAATAATTTATTCCACGTCACTATATACTCTGACACTAATCTAATTACTTCACTAATTAACTCAAACAACTTAACTCTTTACAACTTTACAATATTCACTATCTAAATCGTATCAGTCAATCTTGAAACTAAAACTAATACCGGCCTTTAATTACCGAGTGTTTTACAAAACCCGCTCCCGCTCACCCCTATAACTTTTTTATTTTTTCAAATAAAAAAATGAAATTTGGTGTTTATTTATGACCCGGATGTGCATTATTTGACGTATTCAATTTTTTACTATCACTTCCGGTCTGACCGGAAGTGACCCTAACTTCCTTATTTTAAATGAGACGCCAGGTAAATTTTTCCTCATTTCAATAGAAAACTACATTAGGAGTACAATGACACCTCATTTGTCACTTTTTGACATTTCACCTCCAAATTATTTAAATTTTTACTTTTTAATCTAGAGCGCCATGAATAAGTTAAAATGCTTAATTTTGCTCCTGAAAACATGGGAAAATTTGTTTTGAGATTATTTTGAATTTTATATCCTCTAAAGGCTCATTTAAAGTTAGTAGCAGCGCATTTTTGGAATTATATCAATTTTTTCAAATGGAAAGGGTATGGCTCATTAGCATATTTCGAGAGAGCATTTTCTAACAAACAATTCAGTACCTCACAATCGCAAGTTTATTCAAATATTGAACTAAAATTTTCCAAAAATATTTAGAATGCTAGAAAAATTCTTAATTTGAGTGATGAACTAGCGATTGTGTGGTACTGAATTGCTCGTTAGAAAACGCTCTTTTGGAACATGCTCATGAGCCATACCCTTTCCATTTGAAAAAACTGATATAATTCTAAAAATGCGCTTCTACTATCTTTAAATGAGTCTGTAGAGGATATAAAATACAAAATAAGATCAAAACAAATTTTCCCATGTTCCTAGGAGCAAAATTAAGCATTTTGACTTATTCATGGTGCTCTAGATTTAAAAGTAAAAATTTAAATAATTTGGTGATGAAATGTCAAAAAGTGACAAATGAGGTGTCATTGTACTCGTAATGTAGTTTTCTATTAAAATGAGGAAAAATATGCCTAGCGTCTCATTTAAAATAAGAAAGTTAGGGTCACTTCCAGTCAAATCGGAAGTGATAGTAAAAAATTAAATACGTCAAATAATGCACATCCGGGTCATAAATAAACACACCAAATTTCATTTGTTTATCTGGAAAAATAAAAAAGTTATAATAGGGGTGAGCGGGTTTTGAAAAACACCCGGTATGCCGCAAAATGTATGGGTCATGATAATGATGTTGACTAAGGCCCAGTTCCCAGTTTATTCATCTTCAAATAAAGTAAATAAACTTGCTGGAACTATTTGCAAGATAAATTTACCGTTCTATAATTCTGTTGGTCGGCGGATACCTGGCCGACCAATGGGATTGCAGATTGCGTTTTTATCTGTCAGATTGCATACCCGAGAGTTTATCAGAAAGTGAACAAACCGGTCCTAAAAAGAAAAAAGATATATAAAAGTATAAATTAACGGGTGCCACGCGGATGGGGCCCTAACGCAGACTATCATTGTATTCTTCCGCTCCAATTAATACTCCTTAGTGGGAATGAGATGAATGAAATAAGGAATGCATTGCATTCCTAATTTCAACCTAATTTTTTAACAATTGAAGTTATATCAACTTTCTTTTTTGCATTCGATCTATAATATAGGGACGAATGGCGCTATCTTTTTAGAAATCCGATAATAGAAACAAGTTCTCGAAAAATTACAAAAATGTAATTTAAACTGAAAAAAAAACAAGAAAGTTAATCAATTTATGGTGTTTTTTTTAGTTAGCGCCATTCTTATGTGTGTTAGCAATAGAATGGCGCAAACTAGAATTCCAAAAATTATCTAGTTTTTTTTGTAGAAATTTAATTGATTCTTCTTGTCATTTTGTCTATCTCTGTTATGCCTGCAGCAAACCCCATGGCTCTTTCTTCCGCCTGTTTTTCTATATATTTTAAATCGCCGTGATAAAGGATCCAGTGCCGACCGGCTCAACAGTAGCCCAATGCAATGATCGCGATGAACCTCGCGTCTTTATTAGTATTAACTTATTGGGTAGTTGTATAGTTCGACGTGCGTTACAATATATTTTAAACGGCGCATTCAATACCCTTAAAACGGAACATGGCAAGCAATGCAACTTGCCATGAAACATTAAGAATGGTATGAGCGCTTACGGCATGTATATGCTTTTCACTTATTATTGGCGTAGCATTATCCATGGAAATTTGACAGGTTGACCCTCGAATAATAATGACATTTGATGACAAAATATTTTTCAAATTTCAGGGTTATGAAACAGAAAGCCGAGTTGCCAGAATGTGTAAAATATTTGAGTAAATTCAAACAGTAAAATTATTCAATTTATTAATTAAACGTAACCATAACAGTAAGCTAATAGCATAAATATGTTTTTGCAGTAACTTTTTTTTCGGGTTTGGTCCAACGGCATTTCCTCTATTTTTATTTTTTTATTTCTCTTCTTCTGGACGTGCCTGTCCCTCATAAATGTCGGCGATCATCGATTATTATGGCGATGTCCACTTAATTCGCAGCAATATGGAAGAGTTGTGGCGAGCTTTTATCAAACAATGTTCTGAGATTTTTCCGTCACGATATTCTTCTTCTTCCTGGTCCTCTCTTTCCAAATATCGGCGGGAAATATTAGCGTGTCCATTGTCTCCCAGTGTCCCGATCCTATCCACCCTCCCCTTATAGTTTTGTCAAAGTAATAGTTCAAATTCAGATCCGTTTTTAGTCCGTCTTATTCAGCTTCCACCAACTCAGATTCAGACAACATTTCTGAATCCGATTCGGAATCGGATTCTCCAAGAGAAATAATGAAAGGAGGAATATTTTTGAAAGGTAAGTCTCCCATGTATTTTGTCCAGTCTTCTGAAATAAGTCTGTCACAATGTCTACAAAAATTCGTCCACATGTCTGAGGTACATTTTGAAAGAGACTCACGCCATACCCTCGCAACCCTATCCGTGGATGGTGGCTGCGAAGTTATAGTTTTATTATAGAAGTTCTTACAAAACCCCCATGCCATTTCAATAGAATTATATTGGCAATGATAAGGAGGTAATCTAAGAACTTCGTGTCCGTGGCTTTTCAAAATGTCGTCAATATTTTGTATTGTTTTGGTCGATTCCGAAATAGTTAGGTCCCATAGTTGTTTTTTGGTCATTTTTGTGTCGAAGTCTACGTTATGTTTAACCAACCATTCCTGCATTTTGTCTTTCTTTTAAGAGAATGAAGGTGGTTTATCCTTCCGCTCTGGATGATATGGAGCGTTGTCCATGATTATTACACATTTCTCTTCAAATATATTCAATGCAGGAATTAGTTGATCAACGACCCATTTTTGGAAGATGTCCGCGTTCATGGTATTGTGGTAGTCTCTGTCATTGTTTCTTGAATCTAGAAAAAAATCGCACTCATCTAAAAATCCAGAACTACTCCCCGCATGCAAAACAGTAAAACGTTTCCCCTCTGACTTAATTTTGGATGGGTTGCTTTTCATATCAGATTCGTGTATCCATCGACGAGCTTGAGATCCGTTTTGGTAAATCCAAGTTTCATCTAAATACACGAATCTGATATTTTCGTTTGAATGTTTATATTGAAGGTATTTCCGCAAAAATGTAATTTTGGCAGCAAGAACATATTTCTGCTCACATAAAATTTTGCGTTCATTTAGTGCTTTAAATTTATATCCCATAGATTTTAAAATTTTATATAAACTTGTTTGCCCTCCCTTAAATTCCAAATTTTCTTTTGCGTAGGTATGTCAGTAATGTTTGTAATGTAAAATATTCATTTTTAGAATTGTATTTCCAAATTTGTCGCTGTAAATCTTCTTTAAACATTCGGTCCATAATAGTCTCTGTCTTTTTCGGTCGGCCTAAAGGTTTTTTGATTGTAAATTGTCCAGTCAAAATTCTTTGAATAGTCCTGGTTCCCACCTAAAATTTAAGGAAAATGTTGGTTGGGTAAGAAATGGCTTCACATCTACATTTAAGTTATACCTACCTCAAATATATCTGCTAGTTGGGCTTCAATTGTTCCCTGGAGAGCCTCTGGTTTATTTTTTTTTTAAATAGCCATGACATTTTAATATTTCCCTTTTTTTTTCTTCTGAGATTATTTTCGACATCTTCAATACGAAAGAAATTTGACAATGCCGAATTTTAAGAAATGTCATTAGATTTTGCAGGTACGCAAAATAGTTAGGTACCGTTTATAATATAGCATTATTGAAAAATGTGTCAAATTTGATTTGCCAGATAGGCCAGATAATTTTAATACCGCGGCACTTACGATTCTTACGAATTTATGTAAACCACACTTAAAACTGTCTGGAATTTGACATATACTGTCACTATTATACGAGGGTCAACCTGCCAAATTTCCATGGATAATGCTACGCCAATAATAAGTGAAAAGCATATATACTTATGATTTACAGAGTTCCAGAGTTGCAAAGTTGCCAACTGCCAAATCAATTAATAAATTGGCTATCTGACTTTTTTGTTCAATCATTTTCGAACTTTCCGCTGCGGCGCCTGAAGGACCGGCGCACCGGAAAATCTTCCGCTCCCGGCATTCCGGTTGGCCTATCCTATCCGCCCCTGTACGTAGGTATAAAAACTTTTGTGCTCTGCCAAGTCCGAGGTCGAGGGTCGGAGGCGACTTAGGCTAGCCGCACATTGAGGGCAGCGCATCCTAGCACAGTACAGCCGAGCAGAGGAAGCCTTTTTGTTAAGCTGGGTACGCATATGAGCATGAACGCGAATGAGGCAATTCGAGGCCGAACCATTTGCCTCGGATTCGGGAAGAAATCATTTTTTGGGTGACCTGAATAGTGGACGCACGAGGCGTTGTACGGAATCGATCCATAAATATGTGGTGAGCATTCTTGTTGTTAATAATTTAAATTTTCAATCGCTTTCATCTCAAAACAACACGTGGACTGCCTCGACCTCGAAATGAATTTTCTAAAATTTCCATCCACACTGAGCACACATGAGCAGCGCACGAGCAGATGCCTCACTTTGATATACCGCCAACAGTTGGATCGGGTCGAGGCCAAATGCATGCGGGTTCAAACAAATTTGCACGCCTCGTTCAGACGTACACATACGTATGCTCATGCGTCCTCGGGCTGCCTCATTCGCGTTCATGCTCATATGCGTACCCAGCTTAACGTATATGAACAAACGCAGTGCCGCATATTGCACGTAGTAACTTGTAAGGACTAGACGGAGGAAATTTTTTCCTCTGCCTGTGCTGCGTTCTTTGTGAAATGAACACAGTTTTTTCGGGACTGCGGCCTCACTGCGCGCGAAGATGACACCAAAATATATAGAAATTTTTGTGTTTAGAAATTTTCATTTGATTTTGATTATCATCAAGTTCACTTATTAAATTGAATTCCCCATGAGTGCTTTTTTTCCTCAAATAATCTTTTTTCCATATTGATTTTTTATGCCTTTTGGACAAACCTCGGGACAAACTATATAAAAACTAAAAAGACAATATATTTTCTTTTTCCAAATCCAAAAGTAAATTTAACTGAGCGGCTGGATCCATATATTTTTTTAAAAACTAATATGTAACAGAAACACAGGAAAAATTAACTACCTACGTTCAATATGCGGATATCGCTCTGGCAGAGCACAGGAATAGTTTTCCTCTGTAGTTCCTCCGCTGTGCTGTGCCAGGCTGCCCTGCCCTCAATGTGCGGCTAGCCTTATTGTGACTTGACTGACTTGTGTGTTTTTTTTTTTAATTTTCTTGGGCCTTTCTGGGGGGTATTTACCTCCCCCCCGTTGATCCGCCACTGGAAAGTCCTACTTACTAAACAATTAGGTAGGTACCTACTATCCAGGATTTGTTTCCTGTTTAGTTTTTTCTTAACCAAATCCTGAATCCTATGATGTTAATTCTATTTGTCTGCTATTCAAGGTATCGACACAAGTTGAGGACGACGTGGAGGATAGAAATGGCTTGGATCCATAAATCGTTTATGTGGTGAGACTTTTTGGTTTTTTAATATGTTTTTCCTCAGATTTTCTATTTTCTTTCTTTTGCTGCAATCCATGAAACCCTACAAGGTACAGACAAATCGTTTTTCTGCATTAAAAACCTGTAGAAGCAAATGGTGTTCATTGGTATCGCGTACGGAAAAGTACAGTGACTCGGAAAAGTGGCACTTTCCGTAATAAAAATCTCCTGCTCGCGTTCATGCTATGATTTTTAAATGTGTACACCGGTTGAACGCACCCCAACCCAATCCAAAAAAAATTTGAGGTTAGAATTTTGACATATCAATCAAAACAAACCACTCCTCTGTGTTGTGTTATGGTGATTTGTTGATGACTAACTCAGAAATTAATCTTAAATAAGTGATTAAAACTAGTCAAATAATTAGGCAAGTAAGTTCCAAACATGCCTGCTTACCATTCGAGCTTCTCGGGACCCCGAAAGTGTGTAGGAAACACTGCGATTCTACCGCTGAGAACCAGTTTTCGTGGTCCAGCCCCCCAACAAACCACTCCCGAGCAGGACATAATCGACGAAGCCCTCTACTATTTCAAAGCGAACGTCTTCTTCCGCACCTACGAAATCAAATCGGAAGCGGACCGTTTGCTGATCTACATAACATTGTACATCACCGAGTGCCTCAAGAAGCTGCAAAGGTGTGCCACCAAGAGCCAGGCCCAAAACGAAATGTACACGTTGGCGATATCCAGATTTGATATTCCCGGAGATGCGGGGTTTCCATTGAATTCGGTTTACAGTAAACCTGCTAATGGAAACGAAGTGGAACTTATGAGGGCCTACCTGACTCAATTGAGGCAGGAAGTGGGATTGAGGGTTTGCGATAAGGTGTACGGAGAAAGTGGTAAACCCAGTAAATGGTGGCTGTGTTTTGCCAAGAAGAAGTTTATGGATAAATCTCTCTCTGGACCTGGACAATAAAATAATTTACGTTTTGTATTTAATAGTTTTAAATTAATAAAATAATAAGATTAATAAGAGCCATCTATTTGTGCTTTAACTGAACTGAGTACTTAACACAACAAAACTCATAACCTAGCTTTGATTCTTTTTCTGATTCTGTGATTTCCCCTCTAGTAAATCAAAGATTTCAAATTCTTTTTATTTATTTATGAAATTATTCAATAAAATATATAGGTAATGAGAAACATAGAAATTAAAGCAAAAGTCAGTGACCTGAAGCAACTTCTAGAAAAAGCTAAAATTCTAGCAGGTCAAGAAGCTATCATCATAAAACAGCATGATACCTTTTACAATGTCCCAAATGGACGTTTGAAGCTCAGAAGATTTGTAGAGGTAAGTGCCTCATTTTAATATTTACTCAAGTATTTTCTATATAAAGTACATTCAATGGCGGCGATGCGATATGCATAAGCAGATATAAGTGATGCTTAGGGGCCCATAGTACATTTTTTTTTTTAAATGCTTTAAAATAAAATTGGGAAATATAATGACCAATTTCGATCGATATACTTAACTGGTACCTACATTCCTTCCAATTGCCACCACTGCAAGGTCATTTAGTAAATTAAAAATATTGAAAAATTATGTCTATCAGACATAGCACCAGCATCCAATATGGTTATTCAGTATTTAGTTGCATCAAAAAAATTATCTAATGGATAAAGGACTCACAGGCAATCAAAATTTGAACTATTAGGTATCAGCTCTTGATTCTCTGGAAAACGTTTCTCGAGTCAATCAAGAGCCGGTGATAGTCAAAATTTGAACTTTTATTAACTCTGGATTCGCTAGAGAATTTTTCTAACGGCATTCAAAGTTCAAGATTCGATAATAATCAAAATTTCGAATGGTAATTATATATATAATTATCGGTTTATACCGTTCTACGTCTTCCGATTCCCGACCTCCAACCATCTCTATCAATCCAGGCATCTGTCTCGAAGCCTCTGTCTCTCATTTCTTCATCCACTCCACTTCTCCAGTTTCTTCTTGGTCTGCCGCGTCTTCTTCCCCCTGGCTTCCACTCAATAATTTGCTTGGGTACCAAATCAGCTGTTTCTCCTTTAGGTATATCATCTACTATTGTGTGTTTTACGTCCATAATCTCCCTAATTCTCAGATTTGTTATCCTTTCCATTTTTGACCTGCCTGACGATCTCCTCCAAAAGTCCATTTCAGTTGCTTCCAGCATTTTTGTGGTTCTGTTCTTTAGTGGCCAGACTTCTGAACTATATATGACTATGCTTTTGACTATGGTGTATATTCTAGTTTTGTTAGTTTTGTTGATATTTTAGTCCCACAGTATGTACACCATTTAGTAGGGATATTGCCTTGCGTCCTTGCATATTCCGATCTTTAATTGCTTCGTCTAGGGTTCCCTCATGTGAGATTTCGATGCCCAAATATTTGTATTCAGTACATTGTTTTATTGCTTGTCGGGTATTCAATTTCAGAGTTCGTTGTTCACCTCCCAATAGTCATATACCTACTATGTTTTAGTTACTTATTTAAATACCTATTTAATTGTGCTTACTTATTATGTAATTATTTTTGTAAGGGAAGATTGATGGAAATAAATAAATAAAAAAGTTAGATTTACTTCCAAACCCCATTTCTCGTATTCCTCTATCAATTTTCGTGTCATGTACTCTAGGTCATCATAGTCCTGTGCAATTAATAGTTGATCATCTGCAAAGCCTAAATATATAGATTGTATTCATTGAGCGGTATTCTTATGTGTCTTTATTTGTTTTTCCATCCCTTAAGCGCTTGTTCCAAGTATATTATAGAAATAGTCCCAGAGATGGCTGCAGAGAATCTGTCATCATAAGGTGGATGAACGAAAATAATATGAATATTAGTTGAGGCACTAATTAAGAGAATACGCGAAGGTTGCCTGCGAAAATCCTGCTGAAACAATGTTTTTCAATTTTTTTTATTAGATAAATAATTACAGTAACTATCTTTTAGAGGTGGACATGAAATGAAATCACTATGTTGTAGGAGAGCGTGAGGCGAATTCAACCATTTAAGGCTGCCTGCCCCCACCCTGCCGCAACACCCTTGCAGCCTGGCTAAAAAGGTCGGTTTTTTATCAATAACTATCGTCATCAGGTGGACGCATAAATTAGGTCTCAAATTAAAGGTCTCGATCTCCTCTTTCCATCAAACTAAGGCTGCCTGCTCAAATCCTGCCGAAAGATGTGGTTGCCTCGTTTTTAAAGTTTCCGGTACGTGCGCTGCGCGCTAGGTATTTGCGGAGCGCGAGGTGTTTAGTGGCGAAAAAGTCGTCTACAAAACACCGAAACGAGTTTTTATTTTTGCTCCTTGTCACTTTGTGTTACTTCTCATATTTAAATTATTGATAAGGATCTATAAAACAACACGTCAGGATCTAACACAACGCGCCGCGCGCGTGTTTTTTGCGAAGCCAGGCCTAGGAATTCCACCCTCTGGCCGCTACGGCTACCACCGCAAGTGCAGTATCTAGACGTAGAAGTCGTCGAGCTTTCATTTCCGATTTTTTTTTTTTTGAAATAAATGTGAAATTCATGCTTGTTTTGAGATGAATTGTTTTCTCTATAGGAAAGACAATGGAGTTGTTCAGCAATTTTCTAATGCAGCGTTGAAAAAGTGCATAAATTTTATTGCTTAGCGTCGTGAGAAGAATTTCAAATACAAATATTGTGAAGAACTGCTTTTGTAATTTTTTTTTACTTGCAAGTTTCCTATTGACAGGTTTGTTTACAGAATCGTGACGTCAAAAAAGGTAGCCATCATGGAAGTATTGTTTTGGCGGGAAATTTTTTATTTCAAATTTAGTATTATTTTTTGTGTAACAAGAGCGGTATCAGTTAAATAAAAACTGGTCATATAAATATTGTGCAGTATACACTATCGATTTAAAACAAATTTGGAAAATTTTAGTTCACTTGCAAGTTCCCTATTTTCAGTGGTTAAATTCCCAGAGAAGAGAAAACCGGTCAGCAAAAATCTGTCATTAGCTGACCGTCTATTATTCATCGATAGACTACCAAAATTTATATTTTGAAATTTAGTTAGGAAATGTCATCTTTTTGACATTGACTTTAGTTGTCAAAAGTTGTTCATTTTAACACACACGCCAAAATAAGCAGGTGTTCTAATACAGTGTTAAAATGAGATCTCATTTCATCCCTGAGTGTTGGAATAGGATTTAGAGTGCGTTCCGCGTGAGTGTTAAGATGAGTTTATAATGGCCGTTTCCACCAACTATTTTAGGGGAGCCCTAACGATAAGTATTCCCTAAACTGACATTTTTCTATATGAAAATGAAATGTCATTTTAGGGAATACTTATCGTTAAGGCTCCCCTAAAATAGTTGGTGGAAACGGCCATAAGTATTTTGAATTTTAAATATTTTGAATGAATCACAAAAAATACTGTATGAAATACGTCGCGAGGCTGGTTTTTTGCACGTAATGTGTTGGACCAATCTTCACATGAAGCTTTTGGCAGTTGTAAAAATTATGGCTTTTTAAAAATTAGGTTTAACTATTTTTAAATTTTGAAATGTAGGAATATATGCAACTTGAACGTACTTTAATAAACCTTTCTTGTCAAAAAAGTTCATGCTTTTTTTTTTAAGCAACCAATCAACATCTACCCCTCAACCCCCCCACCCCATCATGGACCTGAATTCCTCTTGATATCAAACTATGGTTTTCATGACGTTTTGTTTTATAGATCCTTATCGATAATTTAAATATTAGAAGTAGCGCAAAGTGACAAGGAGCAAAAATAAAAACTCGTTTCGGTGTTTTGTAGACGACTTTTTCGCCACTAAACACCTCGCGCTCCGCAAATACCTAGCGCGCGGCGCACGTACCGGAAACTTTAAAAACGAGGCAACCACATCTTTCGGCAGGATTTGAGCAGGCAGCCTTAGTTTAATGAAAAGAGGAGATCGAGACCTTTAATTTGAGACCTAATTTATGCGTCCACCTGATGACGATAGTTATTAATAAAAAACCGACCTTTTTAGCCAGGCTGCAAGGGTGTTGCGGCAGGGTGGGGGCAGGCAGCCTTATATGGTTGAATTCGCCTCACGCTCCCCTACAACATGGTGATTTCATTTCATGTCCACCTCTAAAAGATAGTTACTGTAATTCTTCATCTAATGAAAAAATTTGAAAAACACTGTTTCGGCAGGATTTTCGCAGGCGACCTTCGCGTATTCTCTTAATTAGTGCCTCAACTAATATTCATATTTTTTTCGCTCATCCACCTTATGACGACAGATTCTCTGCAGCCGTCTCTCGTACTAAAAGTAATGGTGATATGCAGCATCCCTGTTTAAGTCCTTTAGTTGCTATAAAGCCCCTACTGATTATGTTTCCCTGTTTAATCTTGGTCTTTACATCATTATAGAGCGTTTTTTCTACCTTTATTAGTTCTAAGTTGATATTGGTCTTTTCCAGTGCTTCCTAAAGCTTTTTCAGCGGAACATTGTCATATGCTTTCTTTAGATCTACAAAGAGTAAATGGAGTTCTTGGTTATACGCTAGTTTCTTTTCCATTATCTGGGTCAAACTAAATAAATGGTCTACAGTTGATCTTCCTGCTCTGAAACCAGCCAGTTCCTCTGCCTCACTTTTTTTGTACTCCTTCTCTATTCTGGCTTTTATGAGCTTTCCATACACTCTGCCTCGCACTCTGCTCAGCGTATTTGTTACTGCAATTTCTCAGTGGTTCTCGCATTTGTTTCTCTGCTTTCTTATATATTGTTAAATAGCTTATTTTTCACTCTTCCGGTACTTCATGTTTATCTATGCATGTTTGAAATAGTTTTGTTAAATGTTTGTACTATTTTATTCCGTACTCTTGCTTGTGCTTCTTTATATATTTCTTTGTCTCATGTCTTATTTGAACTTAGATACTGTTTGGCATTTCTTTCTTTTATCTGCTACGTCTTTCTCTATTTCTTGATCCCACCAATAAGGTGAGGGCCTTCTTCCATTTTATTCGTATTTGCCTAGGGCTTCAAATGCTGCACTGTGAATATTTACTCTCTTTGATATGGTGGTAATGCATTTCAAGGTTTTGGAAGATCATACTACTCTATAACGATCCGATAATAATCAAAATTTCGATTACTCATTAGCAGCTCTTGAGTTGATAATAATCAGAATTCCTTCTACCGCAGCTTCCGATTGGCTCTTTTAGTCCAACATTTTGCCATTAATGAAACCCAGAAGGATTTCGGTTCAAAGCTTTATTAAACGACAAATCATCGAGTACAAAAAATATTAGTTTTTTTTTCATTAAGGGTAGGGGGGCCTAATTGTGATATTTGCTTAGGGGCCTAGTGTATCCAAGCGCTGCCACTGCTTAGATTATGACAAGACTTGGATAAGCTGGAGAGGGAATTGAACAAGAAAAATCCCTGGATGATATTTGTCTTCTAGCAGATTGATTTTTAAATATATTCTTTTAGTAATATGAATTATTTTAATGTTTAATTTTACCTATCATAATATAAGAAATAAATTAAAAAATACTGTCTGTTGCATTAGAAAGTATGAAAGACCTCATTTGAATTGAACAAGAATTACCAAATAGGTATTTGAGTAATGTACTTATCAATCTTTCTATCCAATTCTTAGAATGGAGAAGGTGAATTAATCTTCTACAACCGTCCAGACAGTGAAGGCCCCAAACTATCCTCATTTGAGAAAGTAAGCCTTCAATCTCCAAGTGTGGCAGGTTTAAATAAAGTACTTGATAAAGCATTAGGGGCTAAAATTGATGTTAAAAAAACTAGACATTTGTTTTTGGTAGAGCAAACCCGAGTGCATGTAGATGAAGTTGAGGATTTGGGGAGTTTTATGGAGTTGGAGGTAGAACTTTAATATTTTTTTTATATTGTTTGTAATCACATATTTTAGGTATGCTTAAAACCAGAGCAGGAAATATCCGAAGGAGAAAAGATTGCTTATGATTTGATGGAAAAGTTGGGGATAAATAAACAGGATCTGATTAGTGGAGCATATGCGGATCTTATTAAATAAGTCATCATATCATATAAGCCATTTATTATATTTCTTTACACTTAAATACATTTCAAATAGGTACTTACAATACTTTTGTGATAAAAATATTGGCTTTGTATTATACCCAATATTTTTTTTTATTGATTAACTACATTAATAAATACAACCAATTTTGCTCTACATAATTCCTACAGTTTAATATGATAAATAAGTGCTATAGGTAAAACTAGGTATCATTAAATCCTACTTTACATTAATGTGTTTAATATTATAAACTATTCTTTGGTATTTTAAAGACCTTACAAGCTAGTGACTAGATTTGACCCCGTTAGAAAACACTCTAAAAGAGTGTTTTCTGAATAATGGAAAAAATAAATAAAATTTCAAACTAAAATTTTTCACTAGAACTAGTTAACAAAACAAACAATTTTAAGAAACATTTTCTCACATAAAATATATAATAAAGACTAAGGATAACAACAATAAGTTATAGCAACATAATTTCTGTGATATGTTCTAACACATCACTTAAGAGAGTAAAAAGCATTATCTGATATCACAAAAATGGAATATGTTATTTTGAGATTATTAAGTTCATAAAACTAAAAGATTGCTTTCTTCATTACATTAATAGAGGATATTTCATTCAAGGTGTACAAAAAAGCTTCAATTTAAAAACAAGAAGCTTTGAGCTGCTTTTTTTGTACACCCTCTTTTCCTATGCCTAACTTATAGGTTTTACCAATAAAATATATCTTGTCCAATTTCAGCATTGTATTGTCCCACAATCAGGTTAAAAACCTACCTTATTCCTAAAAAAAATCATATAGGAACAAATTCTACAATATTACAGTCCTGGATTACATTACGTTTTGTTTCTCTCATGCCACAAAAATATTCTTACCACAAAAACACCTGCATTAACACAAAACACTAACTATAACATTCTATGGACTAAGATTTATGTACTAATAAATTAATCTATATTTTCAATATCCCTTCACTCGCTATCTGAACTTGATTCTTCAGCCACTGGAGCAGGTTTCTCTTCGATTACGGGAGCAGGAGCTACAGGCTTTGTGACATAAGTGGCACTTGCATAAGCATTGGGAGAATCACCTTCAGTATGCTCAATACCCACCCTTAAAAGCCGTTTTTTTTAATTCTAACTTTGATAAAATAAAACCAATTACCTATATTCATGCCTAGCCAAATATCTGACATATTTTTCTGGAGGCTCGTCTGAATCAGAATTCTGAAGGCTGACACTTCTTGCAGTAGTATGGCTCACCTGAGTGGCTGGCATTGTGAATTCCACAAAGCAATATTCTGCCAGCTTCTCTGGCATTTGATCGTAACTGGTCAAGGCTATTTTGCATACCATATTGTGTGTAGTGTACGCACCTATCAGAAAAATGTTGCCGCAATGAAAAACTTAATAATCATCCTTACCTTGTCCTTCTTTAGGTAATCGTGGACACCTCCATACAATAGCTCTATGCTGATGTTCGTATTTAGCTTGTCCAGAAGTGACTTCAATGAGACTTTCCTGCAAATTATCCATTGTGCCTAAAATTCGTTCTATACCCTTGATTTTCCCAGTTCTCCTGTGAGCAGATTTGACTGATCCGTATCTGAAATGCTTTTCTACTCTGAACATGTAAATCCAGCATTCTGGAATAGGGAAACGTATCATTACGTCTTCGCAGGGAATTTGGCCTAGTTTTCTTGAGGCAAAACCAGGCACTAGAACATCCGCTCTAAGCTCTATCTGTAATCGCCATAAGCTTTAAAACCAATTGAAAATGTTTCATTTGAGTTCTTACTCTAGTTCCTGTAACACATATTTGAGCTTTGAGTTGCAAAGGAAGTTCTCTGTTTTTGGGCGGCCTAACTCTAAATCGCATCAATTCTATATAACAAGCATCTGGGGGCTTAAATCTGGAAAATAGACAGTACTTAGAAGAGAATTACATGTTTATCTGTGCCACTTACTTAATGATGTGAGTATTTTCATATTCATCTTGTTGTACGCAGGAATGAAATTCAACATTTTCTAATCTAATCCATTCTTCAGTTACTACAGGAATAATATCGTGTCTGCCAACCACTTCTTTGCCTTGTCGTCTCATATCATTTATACCTACGTATATATTTTCAATATCAAATTATTCAATTCACTGTTAAAATAATTTGTGAAAGTCTAGTCATAAAATAAACTTACCCAACTCAATATCTGGCATCCCAGTTAGAAATCCTAAAAAGAAAAGTCGCACCCTGGCAATTTGTCTTTCGATGTGCCCTTCTGAATTCTGCTCCACATACAATTCGTCGACACACGTAACTTGCACTTCTTCCATTTTATAGTGCAAAGCCCTATCTCTATGGGCTTGCAATTTGAATAGAGCCTCTTCCACGCAAAACGAAAACTGTTTCAGGTCTTCAAAATTCAACGAGCCTAGTTTCATTAGCTGAGACACTTGCGGAGCGTGCTCAACCGGAAGCCCAAGTTTCTTCAAATCGCTACCAAATTCCTTAACTCCTTGATAATCTCCTTGAATAGCGTAGGCCGCGAATTGGCTTAGTTTATTTGTAATCCTTTCAGCTTTTTTGACTTGTCCTGGCCTAACTCCTGGTCGTTCTTTGTAGAAAATATATTGCAATTTTACTGTGAATATTTTGCCAAACTGGTCATATTGCTGAGCACCTATGTCAGAAACTGAATAGCAAGGTTGAAGAGGAAGCTCCTGGAACGGATCCTTATCGCTTTGAAGATTAAACAACTGCAACAACACACAATCAGGCTGATGACATAATTTTACAAATATCTTCTTCCAAAATCTTTGACCAGTAATTTTCTTTTTGTTTGGTTGCCTCAATAGCATTTCCCATCCTTCACCTGTGTAAACTATTCTTGGAAATTCTTCTAGAGGCTGACTAGTATCTTCATCATAAAGGGGAGTAGATGGCGATTCTTGTGAATCAGATCTTTGCAACTCGGTTGCGAATGGTATAGCAGTTTCCTGCGACAACACAGCAGAGACATCATTTTGTTGATCAAACGGATTGAATCTGGGTGAGGTGTCGGCAAAAGCTACTTGGGTTTGCACTGGGGGCGGTGCCAGAACCGGAGTAACACCAGAAAATGCATTTTCAGTTTTAGGCCTGATGACAACTGAAAAATCTTTCTCTTCATCTGAATCCTGGCTTTCGTGTCTCTTATTAGGTGGTCCCTTCAATGCCAGAAACGCATCGAATCCGTCTTCATTTCCAAATCCAGTTTCATTATTGACACTAGCAAAATCGTTATTTCCCCAGACGTCATCAGTGTTTTGGGTAGCAGGAGTAGTGGCACCGAAGGCATCAAAAACGCCATTTTTAGTTTCATCTGCTTTGACTGATTCGAATTTTTCTGCAAACGCATCAAAGTCGTCATGGGTGCTTGTATCGAAATCGAAAGCTTCATTCGTAGCTATTGGTATTGGTGTAGGTGCTGGTGCTGGGGTACTGAATATGTCCATTTTGTCAGTCTCTATAGGTAGTGGTGGAAGCTCCTGGGAGAAATCTTGCTCTTTGCTGACAGAGCCTAAATCGTCAGTAGCAGCAAAGGGATTAAATGTTACACTGGAAACGGAACCTTTACTTTGGCTATCACTTGTATCCATTTGCAAATCGCCAGGTTCTGGACTTAACAAACTGTCTTTGCCTGTGTCAGAATGAGTAGTCGTCGGAGTCACATCTTCACAGTTATTCAACTCTTCAATCGTTTCAGTGGGAACTAAATTTTCCGTTATTGTAGGAGTCTTAGTTTCAGGCTCCAAAACAGCGTCACACAATAAATCTGGCCTCACCGTTTCCACTTTAGGAGCATTGTAAAGGTTCAAAATATCATCTTTAGTGGCCACTTTGGCTTTTTGAGGCACATCGAACATGTCCATTATATCATTTTGTGCTGGAGCAGGAGGTTGAGGTTGAGGCGGTGGTGGTACTGGTGGCCTTACCACATTTGGAGGAGGCGGTTTTTGAGGAGGAGCGGGTCTAGGAGGTCGTATAGGTGGAGCTGGCCTTGCAGGTGCCACTGGAGGCCTTGGAGGTGGTCCCGAAGCAGGATTTTGATTGATGTCGTGACTGCTGGAACTGAGCGACAGTAAATCTTCTGTGCTTGCAGTCTGAGGCTTATGAGTACTCTCGCCAACGTCTAAAAGGTCTCCGAAGGCAGGCTCAGGAGTTGGACTAGGTGATTGTAAGTCTCGCATCGATATTGGACTTGGTGAACGTGTTGGAGGTATTCTGTCCAATAGATGAGAACTAGTGGCATCCATTGCTCCCATAACTGACATAAGGAGGTCTTGGGTTTCTTTGCTTTGCGGTGGTCGCGGTGGTAGGGGCCTTGCAGGTTCTTGATGTGAATATTTTAAATCCAAATCAGTCGGTTTTTGAGCTGTTGAGTTTACTATTTGTACATCGCTAAAAAAGTTGGCTGTTTCAGTTACAACTGTGTTGCTAGTGAAAAAGTCTTGGGCAGTACTGGCAATATCCATAAATGCATTCGAGGGTACCGCAGCTTCGGCTGGTTCCAATTCCATCGGATCAAATGCGAAAGGATTTGAAGCAGCCGTAGCTGTTTGTGATAGAAATGGATTGTCGTCCATGCCAGTCGGGTCGTCTTCCATAAGGAAGGGATTCGAGTTGCCTGAAGCATTTTCGGCATCATCAAAGCCTTCATCTTGGAACAAAAATGGATTAACCGCCATGATTAAATTAGTTCAGATTCTAAAACTTTTAGTTCGGCTCGTCCTGGTTGAATATTACTGGCAAAACTTGTATCGAACGGATCAAAATCCTCTTCGATTTCTAAACTTTGTTGTCCAGGCACTGGTGATAAAGGTTTTTCTATTATTGTATCTCCACTGTGGACTAGTAAATCGTTATCTTGTGTTATAACTGATGGTTCAATCAGCTCATTTTCCAGCAGTTTCAATTCCGCTTTTCCTGGTAAAATATTTGTTGCTATTGAAGTTGTATCGAATGGGTCAGCGTATAATAAAGGTTCTTCTTTATGGAAATTTGTATTAAATTCGGCCGCTGGTGTTAGTACTTTGGCTGTTATTTCGTTAGTTGCTGACAGTAGATCCACCGGTTCAACAGGTAATACGGATTCGGGTTTTTGCGTTCCTATTTGCTTGATAGCTTCAACTGCAGCTACTTTAGCTACTTTACTATCGTCTCTAGGATCAAAATCGGGATCTTCCAAGTGAAAATTTTGTTCCACAAATTCTTTTTCTATTATTTTTAGTTCAACTCTTCCAGGTGCCAATTTTGGTACGAAAGATGTGTCGAATGGATCTTTATCGTCCGAATCTGGACTGTCGATTAAACCAGGTACTGAATTTTTACGAATGTAAAAAGGCGTTAGAGGTTTTGTTATTTTAGAGGAGTCGTCAATTGCCAATAAATCTTTCTGGTTTGAAGGAACTGAGAATGACACTGTTTTCGAAGGTCCTATGTTTAAAACATCAGGCCTAGATAAGGTTCTTGGTTTACTTTCTAAGGCTCTCGGATTGAAATCGTCATCGTCAACTGAAACAGCTTTAAATACTTTAGATTTTATATCACCGAGTAATTCTTTTTCTAGGAATTTTAGTTCGGCTTGGCCAGGAGCTGAAGCTGTGTCTACAAGTGAGGTATCGAAGGGATCACAGTATTTTATATCGTTGAGTGGAGCTTCCTCAGTTGGTTGAATGGGTTGATCTTCTAATTTGGTAAGATCGCTTGTGCTGCCTCCTAGTAAGTCGCGATGAACTGGAGTTGTGAGATTTTCTGTGCGGAGCAAATATGTATGATTATTTTTTATTTTTTTTGGTGTGAAAATACAAACTTACCTAGAACACGTTCGTTAAGCTTTGAAAATTGATTTAAGTCTTCAGGAGCTCTAGGATCAAAATCAACGTCGTTATCTAATATTTCTTTTTCGATAAGCTTTAGCTCTTGTTTGCCTGGTAAGATGTTATCAGCAAATGTGGTGTCAAAAGGATCTTCCACAAAGTCACTTTGTGGCCTGAAAATAAAAAAAATCAATGTCTGAGTAGTTGATAATCGGAACTGTGATATTGATATTTCATCATGTTATACTACAGTAGAACTTCAGTAATCTGGACAGATATAGTTCAGGTCCGGATTGGTGAATTGTCCGGATTAACGAAGTGATGCTGATAATGAAAAACGGGTTGATTTTTTAGCTTTATTTATCAACATTACCTTAAGTTAATGTTTTACAAATTATTATATATGTATGTTCATATAATAGAAAAAGTTTTCTACATATGTAATACTTTTGCCGCTGGCTGGCAAAAAGAATATACGTATTATGTATTTCAAGACAAAAAGTCACTAATTCTTTTTTGTGTAATCTCCTTCAATTTGTTTTCTTCTGCCCATTGCACGCATTTTGAGAAACACTGTACTGTTCTAAATGTTTGATTTTTGTCGGAATGTCAATAACATCCTCCTCTTCTTCATCGTTTGTGTTTGATTATACCGATTCAATTATTTCTTCGTCGCTAACATTATCACCAGCTATTTCGTCCCTTCCTATAGTCCAGTTTTTTATTTCTTCATCATTCAGTTCACCTTCCGGATCTATACCTCTTAACATTTTTTTCAAGTCGTCGATTTTGCCCTACCTTTAAAACGCAACATGCGTTAAGGTTTCTCTAGGAAATTTAAGAGTAGATGATGAAAAGGCCTGAAATCGAGCAAGTGCGAGGATAAGTGTTTCCAAAAACTGCTAAATGTGTGCAACAATGTTTGACGTTTACACAGAGGAAGTTTTTCGTTTCGAGTTTTGCAAATGCAAGGATGTTTGCGCAAGCGGTCGTAGTTTAGAATATACATTTATGATGAAAAATGTTATCATGGAATAGTCTAAGCATGGAATCATAACCTGTGGTGAAAACACCCTACGTCAAGGCGAGAAACGATACGCTGCCTATGTAATCACTGGTTCTTTGGCGTGGTGGGGGGCTTGAGATTTGATATACAGGGTGGCCAATTGAAAACGAAACAGACGTAATTTTGGGTTCCCCAAGACATTCAAGAAAAAACCCGCGTACCCGTCGATTTTTGATTTAAGGGGGGACCATTTTTTTGGTGGTTTCACCTCCTGGGGGGCAAAGCCCTAGCGGGGGTAACAAGGGCCCCCATAATTTTAAATGGAATGAGGGGTCGAGTGATACCTTATTTTGAAGCTATTTTTATGTAGATTATAAACCCCTAGTCTTATATCGCTACTATCTACTCAGCCATTACTGGGGCTAATTAAAGTTACAAAAACATGTTGGAACATTTTTATTTAAAAAAATGCTTTAAAAACATAATGAATCAAGTAAATGCTGAAAATGACCTCAGAAGAAAAAATCTACCGGGCTTAAATTCGGAGAACGCAGGGGCCACTCAATAGCTCCTCTTCTTCGAATCCATTGTTCTGGAAACCTTTGGTCCAAATATTGACGAATCACTGCAGCATAGTGGGGAGGCGCACCATCTTGTTGGAATATTAGACGGTTTCCCATGTATCCGTTATCATTCTCTAGTATCTCCACCAATTCTGGATGAATCGCATCTTCTAATCACTCTAGGTACATTTCTCCTGTTAAATTTATAGGTAAAGAAGGGGTCTATTATACGGTTACCAAAAATGCTAGCCCAAACACTCAATTTCTGAGGTTGTCGTGTGTGCACTTCATGGAAAATTCGAGGATTTGAGACGTTCCAATAGCGGCAGTTATGGCGATTTACGGTGCCCATTTAAAAAAAAAAGGTGCATTCATCGGAAAAACAGATATTGGAAATAAAATTCGGATCATTGGTTGCTCGCTCACTCATAATTTCAGAAAACTGCAAGCGCTGGTCAAAATAGTCTTCATTAACTTCCTGCACCAGATGTATTTTATAGGGATGAAACATGTTTCTTTTTAAAATCGTTTGAATGCTGCTTCGCTTAATACCAGAAACTGTGGACATTTATCTCGTACTTAAAGTAGGATCCAGAACAATCTGTCCCAAGACCGCTACTTCAGTGGCTCTATTTATAACTGGGTTTTCAATAACCCGTTTTCTGTTACATACGTTTCATGTTGCTCGAAATTTTTGAACTAGCTCCAGAACATACTTCCGATGGACATGCTTGTCTTGGTGACGCTGATTGAATAACTCTGCTGTTTGATTAGCGCACTGACTCCAGAAGTAAATTTCAATGATTTCTACCCTTTCGGCAAACGAGTAAACCATTATTACTTTAAAAAACTCACTAAAGTTAATAATAAATACTCAATATCGGCATAAAAACTGACTAGCCTACAAATTTACTAACTGGAACCTGCTGGTAGATTTTAGATGCTCCTTCTTTATTTTATGTCGTGCCAGTTTATTATTTGAAAATAATAACCCTATTTCCAGGTATAATACGTGCGAAATAACGTCCTAGGGCATTATGGAGATGTAGATTATTTGAGTGTTTGGGCTAGCATTTTTGATAACCGTATAATAGGCCCCTTTTTTACCAATAAATTTAACAGGAGAAATGTACCTAGAGTGGTTAGAAGATGCGATTCATCCAGAATTGGTGGAGATACTAGAAAATGATAACAGATGCATACACTAATATTCCAACAAGAACAAGATTGTGCGTCACCCCAATATGCTGCTGCAGTGGCTCGTCAATATTGAGTCGCCCCCATGTTCTCCAGATTTAAGCCCGTTAGATTTTTTCTTCTGGGGTCATTTTCGGCATTTAATTGATTGATTTTATTTTTGAAGCATTTTTTAAATACAAAATATTCCAACATGTTTTTGTAACTTAAATTAGCCTCTGTAATGGCTAGGTAGATAGTAGCGATGTAAGACTCGGGGGTTATAATCTACATAAAAATAGCTTCAAAATAAGGTATCACTCGACCCCCCATTCCATTTAAAATTTTGGGGGCCCTTGTCACTCCCGCTAGGGATTTGCCCCCACGGGGTGAAAACACCAAAAAAATGGTTTCCCCTTAAATCAAAAATCGACGGGTACGAGGGTTTTTTCTTAAATGTCTTAGGAAGCCCAAAATCACCTCTGTTTCGTTTTCAATTGGCCACCCTGTATACCTTTTTCACTTATTATTTGGCGTAGTGACGTGCCATGGAAATTTGGCAGGTTGAGCCTCGTATAATAATGACAGTATATGTCAAATTCCAGACACTTGTTCTATATCAGTGTACTTATCTATATCAGTGTACGACCTTGCAACAAAATCTCGTATCTTTACTCTGTTCTTATTTATATTTTATTTGGAATTTTGAAAAGTTTCGCAACATGCCGAACACTACCACCTGCATCTAAATTGTCAAGAATTTTACACTTTTCTTTTATAGTAGCAGAGCAATGGACGCGTTTCGTCGGAGCTACTTTTCACATCAGAATTAACACTCAGCGCCAAATAAAAACTAAGGACAAGCCGCTGGATGTATAAAAATATTTCTTTACATGGGTACATTATGCATATGGTATGCAATTCTACTTTTTTCCGCATTTACCTGTTTTATTGTAATTTGTCGGGTTTTTTAGCAGTGTCCGGATTACAGAGGGTAAAAATCTGAAAATGTACGGCACAGGTACGAACTGTAGTGGGTGTCCGATTGACTGGAGTGTATGGTTTACGGGGTGTACGGATTGTCGAAGTTATACTGTACTTAGATCTAGTTATTAGTTTGATATTATTTATTACTGTTATAATAGTAATCCCCTCAGAGGGTAATCACCAATTGTTAAAAGTATGTTAGCAGTCTGTCAGCTTGTTACTCTAAATTATATTAATTTAATGACTATTCTCTATTTCTCTATTTTTCTTGGATAATACATTACAGTGGTGACGAGGAAATTGAAGTGTTGATCAAGGCAGCCAGCTCGTGAAGAAGTGACCTCTGTCTGGCAGATGTTGCAAGGAGCAAAAAAATATTGGAAATGCCAAGGAATAATAGAACACAGCAAAGGGGCTGATGATATTACTACTAGCACCATATCCAGTGTTGTTTTTAGACGTTCCATATAGGTTCTATTTCTGAGTTTAAAACAGATGAAGAATGGCAACTTTGGCAGGAACGCCTAGAGCAATATTTTGTGGCAAATTATGTTGAAGACAACAAAAAAGTTGCTGTGCTCTTGACGTTAATTGGAGAAAATGCATACAAAAGGCTGAGAGATCTTTGCTATCCAGTTTTACCTGAAGATAAGACATTTGAGCAATTATGTCAAATATTTTCAAACCATTTTTTGAAAAGAATATCCAGGAGAATATCTGTATTTAAAGAGAGAATAGAATTTTATAGCCTGAAGCAATCTAATAACGAAACTGTGAGACAATTTGTAAAAATTAAAAATAAGGCAAGTGCATGTAAATTTGGTTCAGAATTGGACTCTGTGCTGAAACATCGGTTTGTCTCAGGAATGATACATGGGTCTATATTAGATAGAGTCTGTGAGGAGGATTACACTAAAGATTTGAAAAGTATAATGGAAGTGGCATTGAACAAGGAGGCAGCATCCACAAATATACAACGGTTTAATCAAAATATGAATCGTTTGCAGGTGCAAAAACATAGACATTCTGAGCGTAAGTCAAGTTGGGATTTTCCAGGAAAGGATTTGAAGGAGAATTCGGGCAGTTCAAGCGTTCCAGATTAATTTAAGAAGGAGCGTACCAGTGATAAAAAAAGTGTTTATGTTGTGGAAAGAGTAATCACGATAAATCAAACTGTAAGTACAAAAATTATAGATGTAGGAATTGTAGAATGATTGGGCATTTAGCAAGTGTTTGCTCGCCACAAGCATATTTTGTAGAGGCAGATGAATTTTGTGAGTGTCAGGGTAAACTCTCTAACAACAATCAATTAGATGCGTCTGAGGAGTTGTTTGATCATATAGATATGTATGTATTCTATCAGAGAGAATAAAATAAAATATGTAAAAGCTCCAAAAACTGAGTTGCTTGTGGGTGGCAAAATGCTTGAAACTGGAATTAGATCTAGTGCTGGAGTATCGGTAATGTTCTGCTACACATTTTTCC